CAGGAGGAGGAGAAAGAGGTGGAGGTAACATTGAGATTAGCAACGGGTAAAAAATCGATGTCATCGCCCCCAGCCCTCGCGCTCTCTCCGCTCTCTCGCTCGACTCAACCCTCTGCTACCTCCACAGGGCAAAATAAAAGAACTCGAATACACGACCCCTAGGAGGGTGTATGCGCGCGCGGCATAGGTGTTCGTGCGAGCAAGCGCAAGCGAGTGCGAGTACGATTGCGAGTGCGAGTGTGTATACGCGCGTTCTCTCTCTCTCTCTCTCTCGTCCGCTCGCTCGCGCGCTTGCTCGTCCGTCCGCTCGCGCGTTCGCACGCTACACGTGTGTACGAACGAGAGAACCCTGGAAAAGCGACCCCCGACCGCCGAAAGAGAACCCGTGGGAGACGGAGCGAGAGGGGTTGCGCGCACCGAAAGAGAGACGGAGTAAGAGAATTCGAAAAAAAAAAAGGATAAAGAACGAAGGTGAGAGGGAGAGATGACCAGAGAGAGCAGAAGACAGAGAGCCCGGATAGATAGACGTATATATGCATGAAGGCAGGAAGAACTGGAAAGGCAGGGTGAGTTATACGCAATTGGTCAGCCTGCACATTTTTTATCGGACGCCGAGCGAACCCGCGATGGGGAAATGGTAGTTACTCTTGTATTGACGAACAACGCCAACAACGCCGCGGCAATATTCTTCCAAAGAGATGCGCGCTTTTTCGAGAGAGAACCGCCGTCTTCAATTCGATATTTCCGCTCGAAGGATTCCTATCTTAGAGACGATGTGATTCGTAATAACTTTTGAGCGCGGCTTGATTCTCTTCTAGGATAACGCGAAAGTTATTGCCATTCGATTCTTTGTGTTCGCGGGCATAATTTTAATACAGAACAGTTGACAAAAAAACGAAGAATATCTAATAAATTTAATTGGTTACGAATAAATGAAAATAAAAATTTGTCTTCTCTCTTTTCTTAGGTCTGGTTTCGCGGTCAGCTCTTTAACCGAAAGGTTCAGCTTACCTCTCTCATCTCTTTGAGAAAGAGTAAGTTGGACCTCGGTTAAAGAGTTAACCGCGAATTGTGAAACCGGGGCCTTATAATCTCTTGCGACAAGTTTTTAATTAAAGGCTCCCGCGCAGCTTGATGCGAACTAATGATGCGATATTAAAATATCAAAATGAATGCAACTAATTTGTTACCTCATTTCCTTGGGATTTCGTGGTTAATTCAAATTTCCTCGGCTATCCGAAGACTCGGTAATGACCCATTTCGTGATCGCGTGCGCGTAATGTATCCGCGACATATTACCGCGGTGGATCGCGGCTTAATCGAGCGGGGCAACGAGCAGGCGGCCGTCGCGTCGCACCGAAGGACGTCCCTTTCAATTAAGCGATAAGCGTTATCGGACAGATATACCGGCAGTCGAATGTATGTACGTATGTACGTACGACTCGATGGGATGAATAGAGCGAGAACGTAACGCGCGACCAGTCGCGTCGCGATGAGTTTTTAGCTCTTCTGTCTCGTCCTCGCCGTCGCTCTGATTCGCCCAGTTTATTCCACCCTTTCTCTTTCGCGCTTTTCTTTTGCGTAGTCGCGGCCGCTTTTTGCGAGCCGCCCATTTTTCTCTATCGCTGCAAATCTCGTTTTCCGGAGAAACTCGTATACGATGAAATTCGATGGGACGCAAGAATCCAATAGGACGTCTGATAAAAAGCTTTATCACATATTAACGAACGATATCGTATTAATTCGAAAATTTGAAAAGGTATAATTTTGATTAAATATTTCTTACTTTTAAGTGATTCATAAATCTTTCCAAGAGTCACTCTCTCACGGCAACGAAGAATTTACTTTGATTTTTACCATTTATACATCGGCATCAACTGAAAGTTTAAATTACAGACTGTGAAACTCCTCCAGAGAACAATATGTTCAAAATGCGAACATAAGACGTCCCGAAGACGTCATTAAGATGTCTTTCAGACATCATATAATAAAGATGTCTTTGAGATTTATATGGATCGATGTACCTTGATTTTCGTTATTAGTGCTTTCAATGTATCTAAATTTTTGCGTGTCGTTATGTATTAATTTATTGCATTAATTTATAACCGAAGATGGCTAAATAAATCTTGTATATTTAAGATGCTGGCGTGGACGGCTAAACTTTGACAGGATTGTTATTTTACTGATTAAATGCTCACATCACTATATACTACCATATCAATGTACACAATTTGTCGTATACTAAAATATATTTGTTTGGGGTTCTAAACTTAATTCAACTGGTTCGCACGTATTCGTTTCTTTATTTTATATCTAGCTCTGTCTTTATTTCGATTATTACATAATCTGCATAACTTTTCCACGAAGTAAATATTTTAATATACTTATTGATAACATTGGTTGAGATAAAAGTGAATAATGAGATTTGTGATTTCTTGATTTTTTATCTGCTTTAGACACAAGGTATATCAGAGCCATAGATATATTACTTTAATTGCGGCAAAAAAATTTTAATTTTATGAAGCTATAAAATATGAAGTAATTAATAATTAACAAAAATAATATTTTTGTCCGAGACGACGCCGGCATCTCCTTAATAATAAATTTTAGTAACTTAACACCTTAATTTTCGTTTCGAGGCGTTATTTTATTCTTATATATATTATTTAATACAATTTTAAATTAAATTTTCAGCGATTTCTCTACTAAATTTTCTACTAAATTTTTCCAAGATTCTTCATAATAAACGGTATTCATGTAGAGTGACGTCGAAACTTCGAAAGTGTCGCGAAAAACGTTATTTCGTCACCGCGGGAGTTAAGAGACGAATATTCCGACGAGCGATCGGTCGCAATCTATATCATGCAATTAAATCGAACGCGCGCGCGAGTAAGCCAATGTTCGTGAGTGAGGCTGACCAAAGGGAGAAAACTCAAGACTGCTATTGGGGATGAGGAAACAGATGAAGCGAGAGAAGTAATCGTACCTACAAGAACTGGGACATCGCCAACAAATTCGAGTTAGTCGAGTAGAGAGTGGTAAAGTGGTGGCTGCGGTAGGGTGGGTGAGAGGCAAATGTCGACTTCGAGCTGTGGCAGGAGATACGAGGGTCGCAGATGCGAGGGATGGCTAGCATTCTGGAAGCGACGGGCAGGGAGAGGCTTACAGGATGGAGAAGAACACAGGGTGGGGAAAATGCGATGGAAAATCAAAGGCAGGGAAAGGGAACGCGAGAGAGGAGGAGAGTGCTGGGCGAGGAACGAGGGAGAGCGAAAAGGGTAAAAACGAAAGGGGTGGCGAAACGGGGAAAAGAGCGAGGCAGAGATACAGAAGGATCTAACCTTGTAGGGGAAGATTGTTTTCATTCGGGGGCTCAAATTGAAAAGGAGCGAGAAAACCGCGACGCGAAAGCCTGCTAAGTGGCGGGGATTGACTAAAGGGAACTTGATTTATTTATTTTTTTGCCGAGCGAGGGTGGATTTTGATACTGACGCGACGTGCGACATCCCCGAAAGTATATAAATACATTTTTGAGATGCTCATTAGGTTGTTGATAGCAGATGAAGAAACCGGAGAACGGAACATCAATTAATAATAAAGCGTTACTTCTAAACGATTATAACAAAATTTGAAAAAATTATCAAATCAACATAAAATATAAAGAGCGTACAGATAAAAATTATATTTTTATAATTTTTATTTGTAACGCAAGAATTTGAAATATATTCGCAAAAAACACCTTGCGCGTGGCTATGTTCTTTATATTTTATGTTTGTATTTTGCGGGCCACTTGTGAATTTATAAATTTATCAAGTTAATTTCTTTCAAGATATCACACTAACTGATTTTGTACATCGCAAAATCATTGTCTAATACGCTTGGAAGATAGCAATTAATGTGAATAAGCTGGCAAAAGAGATTTAATCGCGCGTTCACGAGCGCATGGCATCGGCGCGATATTATCACGGTTAATTAGAGAGCCGCCAAGAACCGATAACTTTTCATTTCTCTTCCAATTAGCGTCAGAGAAGCGAGTTCGCTGTGTTACATTATCTCCGCTGCAATTTGTGCAGTCGCGGTGTCCTGACTTGATTTTCCAGCGATCTCGAGTAGTGGTCTTACTTTTTCGATTTTTATTTTAACATCTGGCGTATATTATTATCCGACAAATTTACAAATTATACGAAACGAGTATCTCAGAAGTTTTATCGCATGACATCGGCGCGATATTATCACGTACAGTTAATTAAAAAGCCGATAAACTTTTCATACTTCAGAAGTTTTATCGTCGTCGACGAGAGAAAAAATGACGTATGTCGAAGAATGTATTTTTAGATGCCTCAATATATACGATTTAGCAAACTTACATTAGTCTACGTAAAAGAAGGAATGAAAATTTATTTAATTACTTGATACATTATCTTTCCGAGATAAGCCATTTAATCAAAAGCAAAACCCTTAGCTAATTGAATTCGAGATGACACGTAGACGTTTGCAGTCTTCGTTATTAATAAATCAAGTTCGATGACCTTATTCTAATTTTAAAAGACACCTCTCTCGTAGTTCGGATCGCGAGATCTGCGAGAACCGTTTGAAATAGCGTCGATTGTTTGTTTTTTTTTTTTCCTTTTCTTTAAAAGACGTTCTGATTTCTCGTGCATTATTCGCCGGAAACAATTCCGCGGTGATTCTAGCGCCGTGTTACGCCCTATAACTACCCGAGCCCGAGAGAGAACGTATAGTTCCCCCGCGCCTCGGCCCATTAAGCGCCGCCTCGAGGTACGAGGGTGAGAAATGATCGGCCGCTAATGCTAATGAATATCAGCTCGTTGTACCGCTCGTGGGACGGCGGCGGGAGGGTTGTTTGGAGTTCGGAAGCCCCACTTTCGAGCATGACCGCGTACCGACGAGGGGCTATACCGTAGCCGCTTTTAAGAAAATTGCTGACAGAGGGGACTGCCCCGCCGCAGTTTCCCCTGATTAGCAGAAATTACACGATTTCCCGGCCTAAACGCGCACCCCTCATTTGCGACCGCGGCCGATTCCGACGATTCACTGACCCCGGGCTCAATTAACGAAGGGCTACTCGGATACTTACAATTAGCAGCCGAGTTAAACGTGATCTTGATTAACTTCGCGTCACGCGCTACTTAAAGATTACATTGCTCGATCTTACGATCTAATTATGTGCAATGTTTAAAGAATACAATTGCATGGAATACATTCTAAGAATATATTCGAAAAGGGATCACTATCTCTTCTACATGTTTTAGCTACCAATTCTCTATACAATACTAGTTTATCTAGTTGAATTTAGTTAATTTTCAATGCTACACTGGACGGTAATACTGGTCCTGACCTTAAATCGGTGGATCAAAAGAATTAATCATTAGTTAAAAGAGGAATGGAAAACTTACCTGTTTGTGCATTTCAACGTTGAGGCCGTATGACATCTCGTAATACTGTAACAAAAACGTATCTTTCAGTTCGCATAAAATGTCTTTCAGATATGAAATACTTATAAGAAATTTTCCTTGTGCAGTCTTGTCTTTACTTGTTACATATGTATTACTTCTATACTTTTACAAGTAATTTTATTTATTATATTTTATTTAATCTGCTATAAAGTATCACATTTTGTTCTCTCCCTATGTTTAAAATAGTTAGAATAGATCATTTAGATTTTAGAGGATACCACTATAAGATACGCGTTGCATTTAACTTTTAAGGGTAGCATGGAAAAGATTGCAAAATTAATTCTATTAAATAATTAAGTTTAAACATTATACTTAAATAATATACTTTTGGAAAAAAATAAAAATACCCATGTATCTTTTTCTATGACACAGCAGAATTTTCTTTTTTTTCAGATTTTAGAAATTGTAATTACTTTCCATTGCAGTATAGAGTTAATTTCCAAAATCTGCAAAAAGTATAAAAATATATATATATATATCTGTATATTATTTTTATACTTTTTACAGATTTTGGAAATTTGCAATAGAAAATAGTTATAATTTTCAAAATCCGCAAAAAATTTTACTTCATATTTGATCCCTATTCTAATCAGTAATGGATGTCGCACGGACGTCAAATAGATGTCCAATGGACGTTGATGGGCGTCGAAGAAGAAAATAATGAGCGCTGATGAAATCTGAAGAGATTCGAAAACGTGCCCAAAGTATTTTCATTTTGTGTCCCCAAAATGGGCGCCCAATAGGCGTTAAATGGACGGTCATTTATGCATCCATTGGACATCTTTCGGGCATCCATGGAATATACTTACCACACAACACATGGATATCCATTGAACATCCAAAGGACGCTCTGAATTTTTCGGATGGACGCCCATTTGACGTCAAATGGGCGATCATTGGTACATTTATTGGATGCCCTTCGGGTATCCATGGGGACCTATTTGCGGTAATGAAATGGGCGCCCATCTGGAAAGTTCAGGGCATCTTTTGAACGTCCAATGGGCATCCGTGTGTCATGTGAAAATTTTACAACAAAATCTCAAAATTCTGTATTTTCGTCTTATTTCTTGAACTTTCTTAGTGAATATCTGACGACGAAATATGACAAATGTATAAGAGGATAATAATATTTTTCTAGCAAAATACGATACTCACTTTGATAATAGCGCCGCGTTATCTTTCTTTTTAAAAATTATTGATTATTGCTATTAAATAAACTATTATAAATATAAAAAAGTATAAGATTTGAACAATTAAAAATTGATCTTTTTAATAACATATTTCAAAGTCATGGTTTGATTTTGGGGAAACAAAATTATATACAGTATATTTATATTTGAGGTGCAAATCTTATAAGGAATTAATGTATGTCAAACTAACTTTAGTTGATAAAAATAAAACAAAAAAATGCTATTCAATAAAAATCAAATAAAAAAAAATGGAATTTTTTAATACATTTTAGTTGAACATAAGGTAAATATCCCAATAGCCGAACATAGCCCTGTGGCGCAGGATACACAATAAACCGTTTTTATAATTTTTGACGAAAATAAGATGTTATTAAAAATCAATTTGAATCAATTGTCCTTTGTATCATTAAATATCAATTTAAAAATGAATTTGCTATGAGGTCTGTTTGTACGTTTTGCCTACACGAGTTTGCACTTGTGTGTCTGTCTACATATGTATATTGGTATGTATAAATGCCCGCGCACGCGCGCGTGTGTGTGTGTGGGTGTGTTGTGTGTATGTGATGTGTGGAGGGAGGAGTCCAAGTATAAGTACTATACGGTTAAACTATTATTAAACGGCACACGATTTAGATACAAGAGACATGTAATATAATATGGAAAATCATTGCGTTTCAAAGTTCAGAATCATAGAATCATCCATATTTGCACCAGATTGATGATTGCTAAAATGATTTGTATGCATACGAGCATGATCATAAATTAGCCAGCTGTAATACGACTATCAAACATTTGTCCAGAAATGCATTATTCGCAGAGCGAGCCTTATAAAGTTACAATCTTGAGATTAAATGTAAATAAAGAAGAAAAGTTACGTTTGTAATACTGGAAAGAAAAGTCTTATATTGCATTAATTGAAATTCTTGTAGATTCAACCCGAAAGGTACAAATCAGATACTTGTAGTTAAATCTATCAAACACAGTCGAGGTAACTAGATATTCAAATACGATATTCAGAATTCTGATTCACATGATCAGAATTCGTTTTGTTTGTACTTGTTGGTGCAACCAGAATATTTTTTCTCACAATTATCGTATCTTCTCAATTTCATGATGAATTTGACACCTGCTTTTTTATCTCCTTAAGTACATTTCTATACTCCCCCTTAAGGAGATACAATTTTAATGATAAAAGCTGAGGGTGGCATTTTTCCCAACTTAAAACAGAACATACGTCAAAGTGCGGAATTCTCGAGACATATCGAATCGCTCGGAGCGATCGATGGATCGGCCGGCGCGATCTTCTCACGCCGTCGGCATTCTCGTGGGCGAATTTCTGCGGGCGAGGGCGAGACCAAAAGGGGCCCGCAATAGTAGTAGCCGTTCGATTCAGCACGTACATGCGTCTCAGTAAACTGCATCCGAACGTAGGATGCAGTTCGGTAGATGCGCTTGCGCGATCGTAAATTGGCTAGTGGCTGTCGCTTAGCGCCGCGCGCGTGTCCGCCTTTAGCCGCTCTCGTTCGGAAACGAATGGCTTCGGGGGAGGCGGTTTGCCGAGAGAAAGATAGAGAGAGAGAGAGAAGGGGAGAGGCAGAGGGAGGCAAAGTGCAATACACACGTCAGGCCAGGCTGGGAGATACTCAGGCTCAGAGATCGATAACATCGGCCACGGAAATATACCGACTTAATAATGCAGTCGATAACTACGCCTGGCGAACTTGGGGCAAGGCACGCGCGGAGCCTTCCTCCTTTGCCCGACGATCCCGGCGCGCTTTGTCCTACGGCGGTGCACGTTGATTCAACTTGGCGATCGTATCGCGCGACACAAGCACAGAGACTCGATAATACATTTCCTCGAAGCTCTCTCTCCTCGTAGCCAACGAAAAAGTGCGCGTCGTGATTACTGCCACGCTAAGTAAAGAGCGATCATAATTTATCTGTCGGACTAGCATGTACAATAAGAGCCTTCCCTATTGTTCACTCTCTTTTTTTTTTCTATTCTTTATCACTTATCTCCTCGTGCACTACCTTTTCATTCTCGATCTCTGCTTTTGACTTTTGCGTGACCATACGTAGAGTAAGAAAGTTCGCTTTGAAATCAGTCACACGATTTGTCAGCGTTTGCTCGCGTCGCGGATGCTTTGCGCGATTGTGAAGTTCGACTTGGATGGCCGGAGGCAAGATATCGACGTAAGTCGGTAATCAAATAACGAGAAAACTCCCAACGATGGCAGAGAGAGAGAAAGAGAGAGTGTGTATGTGTGTTCTGTGGATATCGATCTCATCTGTCCGTCTCTCATTTTCTATTTTCACGTGCCTGGGAACCCAATAATAGGAGTTGTACCGATAATTTCGCCCCCTCCGATTACTCGATATGGATCTTTTAGTAGCGAGCCTTTGATAGGATGATTGGACGACCTCATTTGTCGCTCTCTCGACATTTTCCCTCATTTTATCCCTTTTCCTCCTCTTTCTTCTCTCTCTCTCTCTCTCTCTCTCTCTTCTCTCCTCCCTCTCTTTATACTCTTTCTAGTAGTACTTCGATTCAATCTCTCGCCTCTCTCCCTATTTCCATTTTCCTTTTTCGCTCGCATCCACTCTCTTGACTCTCACCTCGCGAAAATTTACACGCTGCGCCCGCGGATAATTAACGGATAATTAATAAGCCGCTGTGAGTCATGCGAACCGATGTATTCGCGAATCGCAAAGTGAAACTTTCTCTGCCAACTACATTCATTTTATATTTTTGAAAACATTTCCTATAAATGATTAAGACAAGGAAGACAACTTGCAGAATGCAATCAGAATCTTGCTCAATTTTCGATTACAATTTAATAAGTTACAACGAAAACTTTTTTTAATAATAGAAAATTTATATTTGGCGTATGTAAAATTAAAAATAGTGTATTAACTTATTCGATAAGAGATGGTATTGATATAAAATATGACGTGTAGAAGTGATATTTCAACTAAAACTCGCTTTGTGTAAAGATATTTTCTACGCGTAAAGGAACAAATATTGTTGACCGAAACCCCGTGACAGTCGAAGCGTGACGGGGCAGAATTTTGCTAGTGTTGATGAAAAAAAATTTTTTTGAGAGAAGGACAACGTAGCGCAAGAGGATAGAAATGCAATCTGCCATGCAGGTATAGCCGCGTGTGCGCGCGCGCACAGTCGAGGGGTGGAAAGCAAACGGCGAACCGTGGAAACAGGAGGAAAACAAAGAGTAATCGAGAAGCGTGCCCCAGGGATGTGGGTTACGTTTAATTTGTTGCAGCGCGAAAAAACGCGGCGGAGAAAAAACATAGATAATTGGAAAGTCTTCTCGTTCGCGGGCAGGTCGGAGATGCGCAACGACCTCGGGCCCGTTTTCGATAAGGTTTTTTTCGTTCTATTCCCCGCTTTTTTGTCCCTCATCCATACCATCGAATTTTCTTTCTCTTTTTCCAGCGCTCGCTCGATCATTACATTCGCGTATCGGAAATCAAATTAATTTTCTGACGGCCCGGGGATTCGGAGCTTTCCGCTTATACCTCCGACTGTTTTTGACGATACGTAACAGCCTCTGCCTATTCTTGCCGTAAAAATGTATAGGAGTTAGGAAACGACGGTATTCATCGAGGGGATTATTTCGAAACTACATTCCGAAGAATTAATTCTCCGACGATGCACTGCAATCTATCACGATAAAAATATGAAACTCCTGCGAGAGCAATCGGACGGAAGATGATTATCAATTCGAGGAATGCGGATCAAGATTCGTATAATAATTGGAGCATGTCAGATTTTGCGAGATTATTTTCGTCGCGATCGAAGAGACACTTTACACAATGACCTAACATTTTTCCTCGTTTTTCTAGTTTTTACGAATAAATGAAGGATAAGTTTCGCAGAATGTAAATTAGAGCGACAAACAAACATGTTATGAAAGATGAAGCGAAGAGAAAATAATGTATTTGCGAGAAAAAGTTGAGTTGATCCCGTCTCTCTGCTATGTAATTTTCAGTATAAAATATCATTTTCCGAAAACACATTTTCAAATCTGCAGAATAAAAAGATAAGTCATAAGTAAAGGAAGATCAAATGGCGAATAAAGATGAAGATGAAATTTTTGTAAATCCACAATGCGATTTCGATTCACAAATATATTCTACGCCTTTTAAATAAGATATATTTGTAAACTAAATTCATAAATACAATTTAAATGCACCGAACATCTACTCTCTAAAAGTGAATCAGTGTATCATTGTTGAAAAACAATAAATGTTCGCCTACGATTACGTCAGTTGTAAGGGTATATTGTATCACCGAAAAGTCACCGATTCACTTTTATAAAATACAAATAAATCAAGTACAAGTATATATGAAATCTCTGGAAACGTGACATGATTGGCGGTATCTCGTCGAGGAGAGAAAGGAAAGATATCGTAATGACATAGAAAGGCGATGATCCGTAAGACGGGGCGGACAAAAGAGTGAAGAGAAGGAGTGGGAGGAGGAGCGGCTGGTCGGAGGGTGGAAGGAGGGAAAAATTGAAGCAGCGCGCGGATTTACGCGGCGCGTTACCCTAATGAAAATCGCGAAGGATGAAGTTGCGCGCGCGTGGCAGCGGTGGCGGTGGTGGCGACGGCGGGAAGAGATGGTAGGAGGAGAGGCGGTCGGAATACACGAGGGTGGAATTAGAATATCAGAGACACGGCTGGCGCAGCGTGGTGTACGTATAACTCTCTCTGTGTGCTCCGTGTGCTCTGTGCGCTCTGTGTGCCATGCCGGCGCGGCGCACACCAACGCTCCTCACCCTCGTCCGCGCGCGTCTCCGGCTTGCACGTATATAATACTTGTCAGTGGTTGACAAACCCTCGACATCAATTTCTCTCTCTGTCTCTGTAATTCGCCCCCTCTTTCTCTCTCGTCTATCTCTACCTCGCTCCCTTTACCCTCGAAACGAGTCTTGCTTCTCTCTTCCTCGCTACTTCTATCACTCCACCCCCTCTTGCCACGGCC